TGGCATTAAGGAATTCAAAAATCCTTATTTGGGGACAAATTTTGCACTCATGCTGGAGAGCAGACACATTTATGTTCCAAAATGTCTATGGCACAAAGCAAACGTTAGCCCATAACCTATGTTTCTTCACAGCTTTGCTGAAATGCCCCTTAAGTCAAACACAAGTTCATAAATGTTAAGACACTAGGAAGAAAAAATGCCACCAATCCGAGGCATCAGACATCAGTGTGTATCTACATGCAGCCATGGTCAGGTGACATTAGTAAGATTGGCACATGTACAAGCTTAAATTCTTAATGATTCCTTAATAGTTGTAGTAAGTCTGCATGTCTAAATACAAACACTGAGCACCTGTCCTTTCCCCTGAAGGACAGATTGGGATACAAATTCTACTAGTACCTGCTTTATCATTTATATACTACTAGCTTAGAAGTGGGCAGAAGTTACAGAGCTAATAGTCATTTTGGCTATGTGTACAGGGACTATAAAAGCTTTGGTTTACAGTGATTCTGATAATACAGATTGTGATACAAACGAGAAGTCATCAAGCAGAGGGAATACTAGTACTCACTGATTTAATGCCTTTGCTGTCATTAATAAAAATACCAAATGACTGTTGATTAAAATGCAATTATGAACAACATGAAGAATGGTAGTGAGTGTATACAGGCACAGATGAAATGTATGCTTTTCTTTACTGCAGCTATGACTCCTCCCTCACCTTTCTGAAGCGCAACCTTGACCACTCTCAATACCACCAAGCTTTCCTTGTTAGTAACCTGCAGCTTAGAAAGGTGAGTCTGGAGAGACAGCTGGCCCTGGTGCTTCCCATGCCTGTTATGGCATCCTGACCAGACCTTGACAGAAGTCAAAGCAAAGATGACACCAACCACGAAGCAGGGGCAGTGGCTTCTAGGGTGCCTTCTCTAGCCAGCTATAAGGTGGTACTGGAGATTTTCCTTCTGAATACTTCGTAAGCCAAGGAAGCTTGTCTTGATAATATCTAGCAGAATTCGAAAGAGTTCATGAAAAACTATGTAAAATTAACTACCTCCTACATGAGAATTAGGTATAAGCTCATTATTATATACACAAAAATTGAATTTTAATCTACTTTTAGCCACCAAGACCTTGTCAATTTACAATAAATACCTTTATTAAACAATCATTTGTACTAGCTACTTACGGAAAATGTACTGGTGTTCCCACCAGAGGATGATTATACACATCTATCATCAGCAGGCCATACATTTTTGAGATGTTCTTGGCCAAGAACAGAGACTGATCTAACTGAACACTCACACCTTTCCTTCTAACCTTTCCACCCCTGCTTCAACTTCTAACATCACACACACTTCACAGAAAACCAAGCTAGAGAATTAGTCAGTGTTAAAAAATAAGGATTAGATTTCACTACCCCTGGATTCCTTGTTCCTCATCCCAAGTCTCATTGCCTCAACATATGTAAACCACTTAAATGATCTCTTCAAGACAAGAACCAACCACCACATGGCTCTGCTATGAAAATTGTAACTGAACCATGGTATACAGAGAACTTGGATGGTACCAATGTAATTGAATCAAGTAATAAATCCAGGAAAGTTTACTATGTCTCTTAATAATGAGACTACTTCTTTCTATGCTTCTCTTAGGAACTGTATCTAGTGGAGACTGCACTGTGTCTATCATGGACAAATGCTAATGTTTCTCTCCTAACCAAGATTTTAAAAAAAGAGAAAAAAGAGGTAGAAAAGGGTAGAAGAAAGAAGCTGGCATTCGGAAATATTTAAGGGCCAACATGCAGTCTAAGGCCAAATGAATTCTTTTTTTTTTTTTTTTGAGAGGTTTTTCATTGTAGGGCGCACGCGCTCGCCAGACAGAGAGAGAGAGAGAGAGACAGGGAGAGAGAAAGCGAGAAATCACCCCCCATGGGGGATGGCCACGCTGCAATCCCTTCTCCTCCATTCTCCTCTAGGGATCTTGGGCACGCACACACATGCGCCCGGTGTGGATTTTAAGCCACCGGGTCCAGGATGCGAACCGTGGTCAACTATGTGGGAGTCCAGTGACATAGCCATTATTCCAACTGCTGGTTCCCTAGGCCAAATGAATTCTTGAAGCCTAGTGAGTTTGGAAAAAAAAATCTTCACTTTGATGGGTAACTTCAATTATTATTAAAATAAAAATTAAGGCATACAGAGAAAAAGGCACCACTAAAATTAACAATTACACTGCTTTTCATCAACATTTAACCAATCTTGAAATTCAAATAAATATGAGCATTACATTTGTAACAAAGGCCCAACTCAATGATAAAACAATATGGTCTCCAGAAATTATCCTGATCATAACATAGATAACACTGTTGATAGATTTCAATTTCTATCAAATGTTTTGAGTATTTGATACACAATTTAGACCAGAAGTTTTTTTTTTTCCTTTAAAAACAACATCTGGAAAAAAACACCCTGTGTTGTGGAATAAATGCTCTAATAATAGAACCAGTTGAATAGAGGCTGTGTTTTGTGTAGTAAGCAGGAGTCCTGAGAGAGAGGCTGCCTAACCTAGTGGGGCCAGCCAATCTGCAGAGATATTTACCCTAATCTCTGTGGTCATGTCAACTATGTGGGAGTCCAGTGACATAGCCATTATTCCAACTGCTGGTTCCCTAGGCCAAATGAATTCTTGAAGCCTAGTGAGTTTGGAAAAAAAAATCTTCACTTTGATGGGTAACTTCAATTATTATTAAAATAAAAATTAAGGCATACAGAGAAAAAGGCACCACTAAAATTAACAATTACACTGCTTTTCATCAACATTTAACCAATCTTGAAATTCAAATAAATATGAGCATTACATTTGTAACAAAGGCCCAACTCAATGATAAAACAATATGGTCTCCAGAAATTATCCTGATCATAACATAGATAACACTGTTGATAGATTTCAATTTCTATCAAATGTTTTGAGTATTTGATACACAATTTAGACCAGAAGTTTTTTTTTTTCCTTTAAAAACAACATCTGGAAAAAAACACCCTGTGTTGTGGAATAAATGCTCTAATAATAGAACCAGTTGAATAGAGGCTGTGTTTTGTGTAGTAAGCAGGAGTCCTGAGAGAGAGGCTGCCTTAACTAGTGGGGCCAGCCAATCTGCAGAGATATTTACCCTAATCTCTGTGGTCATTTAACATTTCCCTTATAAGAGCCAATGACTCCAAAATTGTTTTCCTTTCACTTCATGAAAACAACCATAACATGGTAAAACATCACTGCTGAACATCCTGAGTCATGGTACAGTAACTGCCCCTGTTCCTTCTAGACTGTGACCTCCTCAAGGATGTTAATTGAGTACCTAACAACATAATTTGCAATTATTGAAGGAGGAAATAAAAAAGATTTACCTTATTTTTAAAAGAGGTTGGATTTATATACCTGATTGACACCAGGTGATTTTACATAAAGCCATTGGTTCCTAAATGAAATCCTTAGCACAGAACTCTGCCATCGACCAAGGAGTCTGCATTTGGCTTAATCATCCTGCTAAATTATTCAGATCTGATTTAATTTTCTTAGTGATTACATTGTCTTAGAACAATTCCATCTCAGAAATACCATAGATCAGACCTGACATATGGAAGAGCTAACATGGCAGAAAGCTACTATAAAGAAACAGTTCCTCCTTTTTTATGCAGTTTTGATTGGGAACAAAGTGAAGACTTTCAAGTGAAAGTCAACCAAATTTTCTCTAAAATCAAAGTTTTGGTCTGTCTTTGTAGTTCAACATATACATCAATATTTATATTAAGAATGACTGTGCCTTTCTAAAACTTTCTAAGGCAATAGTCTTACTCATTTTTTAAATTAGAAACATGTTTTGTAAACAAGGAAAAGCACTAAAAATTTTCTAGTTATTCATACTGAAATTTTCTAAGTCTGTATAATTTTAAATACATTTTAGAGAATTATCAACCCACCAAAATTTTCATTAGTCATTACAATATTTTTCAACTCTTTTATTCAATACATTTTGTAATGTAAAAGATCTTATATTTGGTCCAAGCCTAAGTCGTGCCACTTTGAATCTCTCAAGGCCGAAGTAGTTATTTCCTGAAAAGCACATGTAAGACTGCCAGTGAATCTTCTCCAGCACCAATAAGTCTGCCATGATCAAAGCAGAAAACATCTGAAAGGCACAAAGTCAGCAGTCTGGCCATTACCCAGCCTCAGTGAAGCAACATTACAGTATAGAAGAATCAGTTGTGCATTTAAAAACAGAACACATTTAAAGTCACCTTAAAAAGTTCAAATTTCATTTGTTGACTCATATCATTCTTAGAAAAAAGAAAAAAGCAGAGTGTTACATTTAACTTCCCCCAATAAAGATGTTTCAAAATGTTCTTTTTCTTAGTTTACTTTTGGTCTTCTGTATTCCCTACCCCCACCTTCAACCACCTTCAAGCTTTTTTGTTCTAGTAGTTTATATAAATATATATATATATTAACTTTCATTGTGATTTTTGGTGCATTCTCAACTTGTTTGAAATAAATTCACATATTTTATATAATAACTCTGTGAACTATTTGTCTATTTTTAAGTCTTTACATAAAAAAAACATTACTTCCCTGGAGCTAATACTTTCTCTTATAAAGTAAAGGTCTTCTGCAGCAGTGGTAAAATAATAGCTTCTTTTCAGGTGCCTTTATTGTCTATAGCATCTAGGAAAGAAAGAGGAGACTGAAAACATTTGTTTTGTTTTGTTTTGTGTTCAAAGTTTCCCTAGATTTCTCTCTAAAGAACATCTTAGATTCTATTCTGCACTGCTGGTTACCCTGACAGACCAAATATGAGCCAAAGGGAAATCACAACCACACAAGACAAAGAAATAAAGGAAAAGCCCACTGGTCCAGATACCATCATCTTGCTCAAGTAGAAAAGACATCTTCGCTTATAAAAGATAAAGAAATTGTAATAGATCCACACACTTGGGGATTATGTTTCCAGCACAAGAGTTGGCAGTTTATTAACCAGGATTGGGGGTAGGAGCAGGGGGCACCTAATTGTTTTTCCTTGCAAGCTGCTTCCTTTTATTTGAAGGGTATGGGAGAAGCACTGGCAATTTTGTGCTTTGACTTCTCAGACTGGCTGGGGGGATTTCAAAAACTCTTACAGGGTAGGACTTTGACACAGTAAACCAAGATTTAACTAACTTCAGAAACAAATTATTTTGGAAGAGGCCCTAAATGAGCATATCTTTTGGCAGAAAAAAAGAATACCTGTGTCCCTTATAAATCCCATGAAAGGCTTTGTATTCAGAGCCACCAGGAAGACTTACTACTTTCTAGACCTTTAAAATAAAGTACTCAGCACTTACTTTAATATGCTGAAAAACTGCCAGTGGTCCAACTACTGATAGTTTCATGTTTTTCAATAGACAATCCCACTAGAGATAGTAGGACCTTTCCAGCTGCACCTTTCAGTTTGTTCTCAGTGGATACATTATACTAAAAATATCTGGCAGTTTTTTAAACCTCCCTGTATTATAGTTAACACTTTGTTTTAGTATCTTTTCTTTACCCACGATTACAAATTAACTTTTAAGGAAAGAACATATACAGACAGCTGAGTTCAAAAGGCTTGATATTCAAATTCATCAAATTCATCACGTTTCTAAAGTGGAAGAATTGCTGACTTGAGTACGATATACAGCTGGTAAGGAAGTTATTGTTATCTATTGTTTATTGAGATCATTCACTCTTTATTAAAAGTAGCAGTATCTGCTCATAAAACCCTCATTTACATTACGCCATTTTCTCTTTGAAATTTACTTTTTTTGTATTTACTGCTTTGTAAATGGCTGTTTTCAGTTTGTAACTAGAACTGATCTTTACATCAGGGTTTCTCAGCCTTGGCATTTTTGACATCTGGGCAAGAAATTCTGGGAAAAGGGAGGTACTGTCCTTGTGTACTGTAGACTATTCAACAGCATCCCTGGTCTCTACCCACTGGATGCCAGTAGTATCCTCCCAGTTGTGACAACTCACACTGTCTCTAGGCACTGCCAAATGCCAAGTGAAATGAACCCTGCTCCACTGTTGACAACCATTGTTTTTACATATATTTTTGAGGTGCTTTAGTATTCTGTGATCCCAAGAACAAGGGTTTTATCTCATGACACTAGCTTTAACAATGGATACTCTGGGCTGAACTCTTAGTTCCTAAAGAATATTATCTATGGGGAACCAGAAGCTGGAAATAGGAACATAATACACATGATTTTCATTATTTCTCCATTTCCTTAATTTTGGGGCTTTCTCCCTCAAGTAAAGAACATAGTTTAAAATATACTAAGCAACATTTACTGCTTTTTATCATGATTTCTGATTATTGGTCAACATGGTCTCCTTTACTGCTCTTATGTTTAATGAGAGACAATAGCAATCTCCTTCTTTTACTTGAGTAGGCTCATTGACTTCCTGTATCTGCTTTAAAATAAAAAAAATTTTTAAGCACAAAGTTATCCCTCAAGGTTTATAGATTCCAGTATCATGGACCTACTATAGTGTATTTGTTTACTATACTGGTTAGAATTAACAAACATACCTCTTAAGAGACTCATATCTTCTATCAAGATTACTACTGAGCAAAAAACTTGGTTGACAGAGGTTAGGATCTAAAGAATATAGATATAAGAAGGAATCTATATTTCTTTAAGTTGAGTACCTACCCTAAACTCAAGTTTAGGGCTCAACCCCACAAATGAGGATCTATTTTAAATACTATCACTAAAAACTACCAATTATACATCATATTCTTCTCCTTATTTTCCATGTCTCCCCATCACCACCATTATGTCAGTGATAAAGGGAAAGACTACAATCTTTAGGTATTCCAAATGATTTTTTTGTACTAAAAAGAGTGACTATGTACTAAAGTGCTTTATCTCTCTGAACCACATCAGTACATTATAAAAAAAAAAATTTAAAAAAAAGTTTCAAGTTCTTGTAAGGAAAAAAAAAGATTAAATATAAAAAATTTAGTTACTATTATTATTAAACAAATTTAACCAAGAATCAAGAGAAACACTTTCCCTCTTGTCTTTTTTTCTCCCCCATCTCTCTTTTTATAAACAACAAAAGTGCAGTCAGAGAGAAGGTAATAAACAGATGGGAGCTGGGTGGAGGCACAGGAGAGGTTATTGGCTGCTAGTGATAATGCACAAACATGTGCCTTAGGAGTTCCTCAGCTGAAGGTCTCAGTTTGGCCTCTACAAAAATCCTTTTGAGGAAGTCTCGAGTATAGTCTGAGACATGAGGTGGCAGCTTCGGGTTTGTTGGCTGAGTGGCGATTTTAAAGATGGCAGCCATTGCTTCGAATTCAGCCCAAGGTGGCTTTTCAGTTAGCATTTCTACCACAGTACAGGCTACACTCCTACAAAGAAAGAAAAAGAAGTGGTTACCCAGACAACATCACGAAAGAAAGCTGGTTAGCTAAAAAGTGAGAAACAGGAGTGAAGTCCATGTGAGTTTGTTCATTCATTCATATAATTCTTTTCAATTTTGATATCTGTTAAACTGGGAGTCATATAACAGATAGCATTTAGGAAGTTTCTTTTCTATTTTGTGGTATTTGAAAAATATTTTATCTATAATCAATGGTATCTTATAGTCAATGAGTAGTACATACTTTTTTTCCCCAAATATCTGAGTTTTTTTTTTTTAATTAACTTTATTTATCCATTTATTTTGACAAGAGAGGAAGAGTGAAAGAGAAAGAAAGAGAAAGACACCAGGTCCGGGACTTGAACTATGGTCGGCCATGTGGGAGGCTGGTGCCCTTAAACACCATGCCACCTGCCGACCCCAGTAAAAGAAGGGACTAATCAAATAACAATTTTAGGGGTTGGACAGTGGCATAGCCATAAAACACGAAGATGTGCAAGGCTGACCCACGTGAGAAGGTTCCAGGTTTGCATTCTGAGACCTCCCCGAGCACACTGGGCACACGTGTGCCCATGATGTGGAACTGGCTGAAGCTGGAGGTAGACTGAAGCATCAAGACCCTAGAGGATATTGTCTCGTCTCTCTTTCTCTGCATCTTTTTCATTTGTGGAAAAAAAAGTAAACGTTCAAAAAGTATTAAATTTTAGGAATGGCAGATAGCGTGGTGTTAAGGGCGCTGGGCTCCCATAAGGCCAACTGTGGTTCGAATCCTTGACTTGGTGGCTTGCTTTCTCTCTCACTCTATCTTCTCTGGTCAAATTAAAGTAAGTACATAAATAAAGCTAAATAAAATAATTCTTTAAAAAAAATTAAATTCTCGGACCAGCAGATGCTGTAATGGTTATGTTGCTGGACTCCCAGTCTTGAATCTGGCAGCTTAAAACTCATGCTGGGCACTACATATACTTTTTTAGATCTATAATAATTGTACATTTTCAGTACATGAACACAATGTGTTATGATTAAATCAGTGTGATTAGAATACTCATTGTATTAACCACTGTTACTACTTTCCGTTGGAACATGTACATTTAAATATGACTTGATTTCAAATATAAAGTTTCACTGAATGGTTCTAACTACATAAAAACATAAAAATAAAACATAAAAATCAATGAAAACAAACCACAATTTAATGATTATCGCTTAAATTAAATCATTAGGCCAAAACATCATTCATTTATTATTTTTATTTTATATAATTTTTTAACCTAACATTAAAAATAATTTTAGAATGGGCCAAAGGTGGTGTCATGCTTAAGACACTGGATTCCTACATGGCTGATCATGGTATGAACTCCAGACCTGGTGGCTTAAAAATTACACCAGGCATGTGTATGTATGTGTCCAAAACCCAGGAGGAGAATGGAGGAAAAGGGATTGTGGCGTGGTCATCTACCATGGGGAATGATTTCATTTTCCCTTTCTTTGTCTCTCTCCTCACTGGCAAGTATATGCACACTAAGGCAAAAACCTAAATAATAACTGTGTCTTTCTCTTACAAAGCCTACAAGCATTAGAAACTGTTTGCCTTTAGGTACTTTCAGATGACTAAAATCTGTATCTATTATATTTTCTGGAAGAGCAGAAAGAAATGGACACTTTACATTTGAATTTAAAATAATTAAGCAATTAAAGATTAATTGAATTATAATACACTGACAACAAAGATTCATTACTTTTAAAGTTCTCCAAGGAAATAAAATAAGCTAGCTTTGCAAAGCTCAGGTTTGTGTAAGACAAAATCCTTTTTGAAGAATGAAAGATGGGTTCAAGGACTATAAGACTCAATTAGGCACAATTAAAATTATGTTAATCCTTGCCATTCTTCTATCTTATTTCAAAAGTACAAATGATAATTTAAATTGGCTCAGTAATTTCAATCCTGGGTGGAATCCATAAGAAGACAGGCAGTTTTCATGAAAGCCTCAGACAGAAACCTACCAGATATCTGCTTTTCTGCCATAGCCTTCTCCACTGATTACTTCAGGGCTCATCCAGTATGGTGTGCCTGTAACGGACTTCATTCCTGTCCCTGAGAGACAGATAGTCTGAAGCCGTTTGCTGGCCCCAAAATCTCCTAGTTTGACGTTGCCTGTTGAATCTCGCAGGATATTTGCGCCTAAAAATAAGAAGCAGTCTTATTTCGTTAGCAGTCTGGAATTATATTGTACAAAAGAACAATGGCAGAGAATTACTTAGTAGACTTTAATCTGTTTCCAAAATTAGGCTTTTTATCATCTTCTGGGCAGGACCTGGTGTAAAGCCATATACGATTGTTGCTCAATAAAGATTTGCTGCATGGACACAGAATTTTTAGTAAGCAGGGTGTACTTAGGACCTAAGAAGTTTCTCCCACTGAAAAGGACTGGTGCAGGGGGAGGCAAGGATGAACAAGAAGAGAAAGAGGAAAAAGGACTGAGAACAAATCTCAGTCAACAATCAAAGAAATAGCAGGCTCTTGGTCCTCATTTTTCTGTCATAAAGCAAGAAGCCCATGGATGAAGCTTAATCCCTTGAGCAGCCAGATTTTCCCTAGAACTTCCTGAGGGACTTCTATCACTAAAAACTTCTAGTACTTTCTCCCTTCTATTACATATCTTATAGTTTTTCTTAATACTGGGTTTTACTTTATGTTAATGTCTCAATTTCTTTTTTTTAAGAATTATTTTTTTATTTAACTATATTTATTTATAATTTGACCAGGGGGTGGAGAGAGGGAAAAGTGAGAAAGCAAGCAGCCAAGACTCAAACTGTGGTTGGCCATGTGGGAGTCAGCATCCCTAACCATCATACCACCTGCCAGCCCCTTACTTCTCAATTTCTACCTGTATTTTAAATGTATTATAAGTAACCTTTCAACTTTACATGTTTTAAATAAAATTTCATCTACTTTCATAATAAACTTTTTACTTGGGATACCTTTAGATTTGCACAACAACTGCAAAGACAGTAGAGAGAGTTCCCATATGTACCTACACCCAGTTTACTGTATTAATATCGTACACTTGCAGGGTACATTTATTACAATTAACAAACCAGTCTCAACACACTATTACCATCTAAAGTCCACACTCCGTTCAGATTTCTTCAGTTTTCTCCTAATGGCCTTTTTCCCTCTCAGGATCACATACTAAATTTAGTCATCATGTCTCCTTAGGCTCCTTTCAGGGGTGGTAATTTTCAATGACCTTTATATTTCTGAGGAGTACTGGCCAGTTTTTTGTTGAATGTCCCTCAATTAGGATGTCTCATGTTCTTGTCATGATTAGACTGGAGTTAAAAGCTTTGGGGAAGAAGACCACAGGTGAAGTGCCACTGTTATCACATGGTATTAAGGGAATATACTGCCAATATCACAGTTGATATCGACTCTGATCAACAGGCTGAGGCAGGATTTACCAGTTCTCCACTCCACTGTAGTTCTCCCACCCCTGTACTGTCTCTTAGGAGGAAATTCACCATGACCAACCCACAGTTAAAAAGTAAATGGCCCAGCTTGGTGGCATAGTTGGTAACAAACTGAACTGCACTGCTAGAAGCCATGAAGCCAATGCTGGGTTTGGATTCCTGGATCAGCCTCTAAACATGTTGGGTGCAGGGGCTGACAGGTGGCATGGTGGTTAACGGTGCTGGACTCCCACATGGCCAACCATGGTTCACGGCCTGGACCTAGTGGCTTGCTTTCTCACTTTCCCTCTCCCTCCCTCTCTCTCTCTGCCCCTCTCTAATCAAATTAAAATAAATAAAGTGAAATAAAATAACTCTTAAAAAAAAACATGTTAGGTGGACATGTCCAAGGTTCTTGCCAGAGACAGAGAGAGGGAAAGTGAGAAATCACTCCTTCCCTAGAATGAGAATGGCCATACCATAGTCCCTTTTCCTCCATTCTCCTCTTGGGATTTTAGGCATGCGCACGCAAGCACCTGGTATGATTTTCAAGCTGCTGGGTCTGAAACCATGACTGGCCATGCGAGAGTCCAACACCTTAACTACCACGCCACCTGCTGGTCCCCCAAAACAGTATCTTAGTATTAATCGAATAGTCAGTGTTCAATCTGCACATTAAAAACATAATCAGAATCCAGGAGGCCAATAGGTGATATGGTGATTAAAGCACTGGACACCTACATGGCTAAGCATGGTTCGATTCTGGGAGCCAGTGGCTTTAAAATCATGCCAAGCGTGTGTGCATACATGCCCAAAATCCCAAGGGGATTTTTCCTGTTTCTCTCCAGTGAATGCACGCACCCTATGACAAAAACTTAAAGAAAAAAAAAGTCGGAATCCAAATTTGTAAAGAATCTAAGTTGTTTGTTATAGCTTTCTCATGGTTTAGAGTTTGCTGCCTGCATCCTGAGGGGTCATTTTAACAAGTACATGTTCATACATATGTGTACACATACATATCTGTATGCACATATGTATGTTCTATGCAATTTGGTAGCTAAATCTGGAGGCTTGATCCAAATCAGAGTCAATTTTGGAAGGAGGTCAGGGAGAGGGGATATAAATGAGACAGACAAGACCAGCAGATGGTATGTTGCTGGACATCCATGTAGTGAACTGTGGTTCGAGTATCGGACCAGAAGGCTTAAAACTCATGGCAGGTGCATATCTGTACATGCCCAAAATCCCAAGAGGAGAATGGAGGAGAAGGGACTGCAGCGTGGTCATCCTCCCTCGGTGGGTGTGTGCGTGTGTGTGATTTCTCGCTTTCTGTCTCTCTGGAGGGTGCATACACTTTATTGCAAAAATCTCAAAAAAAAAAAAAAAAACTAGATAGACAATTCCCATTTTAGACTATCTCTATTTCACAAATGTTGGCAGCTGTTAATGCTTAGTATGTGTATCTATGGTTTCATCGGTGGTTGTAAAATACTACTATTTTATCATTCTTCGTTAGTGAAAATAGTTCTCTAGGTTTGTTCCCTAATTTTGTCTGTAGGACGTGTGCACTAGTCAGAGACAGACAGAAATGGGGCGAGAGGTAAGGGGGGGTTAGAAAGCACTTTCCTGGGGGAGGGTGGCCACACTGCAATCCTTTTTCCACTCTCTTCTCGGGATTCTGGGCATGCATGTACATGTATCCAATGTGTTTTCCTTTTCTTTTTTTCTTTTTAAAGAATTATTTGTTTAATTTTATTTGTTACTATTATTCCACAATCTGATCAGAGAGAGACAGAAAGGGAAAGCATGTAAGTAAGCTTCCAGGTCCAGGACCCAAATTGCAGTCAACCATGTGGGAGTCCAATGCCCCAACCACTACCTGCCAGCTCCCCACAAAGTACTTTTCAATCCACTGGGTCTGGGACTTGAACTGTATACTCAGCCATATGAGATACAGTCACCTGAATCTCCACGCTATCTGCTGGTCACCCCCCATGAAAATACTTCTATAGTCTATCATTCTTTATTTTTTAGCCATTTCTATAAACGTAAGTTTCTGGGCCAGTCCTATAGTGCAGTGGTTAAAGGCTATGCAGAAGAACCTGGATCCCACATGACCAACTACACCTTGGGGCATGGTCTGGAGCTTGAAAATGCCAGGCACATGTGTGCACAACAAAGATCCTAATAAAATGGAGGAACAGAGGAAGAAGGATTATGGCATGGCCAGACCCCACTGAGGGGTGTGCTGTAGCTCTCATTCTTTCTCTCATGTACACACACATACCCTCTCACATTTTTTTGGGGGGGTGGGGGAGAGGTTTTCGCTATAGGGCACATACACTCACTAGAAAGACAGACAGACAAAAAGCGAGAAATCACTCCCCAGGCGAGATGGCCACACTGCAATCTCTTCTCCTCCATTCTCCTCTCGGGATCTTAGGCATGCATGCACCCATGCCTAGCATGAGTTTAAGCCACCGGGTCCAGGACTCGAACCACAGTCGACTACATGGAAGTCCAGCAACATAGCCATTATACTAACTGCTGGTCCCTGCCCTCTCACATTAAAAAAAAAAAAAAAAAAAGGGGCCCTTTTTTATCCACTATTTGGTCTTCAGTAGTACAGTTTTGGGAAAAGGCAGTCAGACTACAGGAGGCTTTTTTTAGAAAAAAAAAAAAAAAAGGATTTTGCCTTAGGGCATGTGCACTTGGGGGTGGGGAGGACAGAGACAGTGAGAGGGAAAGTGAGAAATCATCCCCCAGGGGGGATGGCCACACCACAATCTCTTCTCATTCTCCTCCCAGGACCTATGGGTATGCACACACACATGCCTGGTGTGAGTTTCAAGTCACTGGGTCTGGACTCTTACACAGTTGGCCATGTGGGAGTCAAGCAACAAAACTGTGATACCATCTGATGGCCTCTAGGAGGCTGCTTTTGAAATAACAAATAGATTCCCTAGCAACAATAATCAATTTATTTCTATCCAAAATTTCAGAATGAACTCAAAAGTAATCAACTATTTTCCCCTTTCCTTTACCATTTATGAATTGCTTATAAAAATTAGAAAATACAGATAAAGTGAAAAGTATGCTGAAGAAAACAACTATAAATCATTTTGCTATCCAGTGATAAACACTGTTAATGACATGGAAATTTTCTTTCTAGGTCATTCTTAAATTTTACAAACTTGAGGCCATCTTATATATTCAATTTTATATTTTACCTTTCCCCCTTACCAATATATTTGCTCTACAAAGCTTAAAAATCTGCTTGCTTGCTACCTCCTCATTTGACCAGAATAGTTCATCCTCTTTCTGGCAGGTATAGATGAGGATCCACTGAAGGGGTAACTCCCTCATAGCTCCTTTGCTCTACCTCATTGTGAGGACTAACAAGAAGCTGGTTTGAGTAAAGATTATTAATTGAATAACTTTCCTAGGAGGTTCATTAAACTATCAGGCTTCATACTTAACAACTGAGGTCTGCCTGAGATGGCAGATCATGAGCTGTGTCTTCATCCTCTCGGCCTCACAAGTAAGCTCCATTCTAGTATACATTCTGCAGATTCTACTCTATCACCAGAAACTGCTTAGGAATGTTCTCTTTGGCCACAGTACCACCATAATCAGAATGTGCTGCACCACATAGGGGAAGCAAAAGCCTAGGATTTCATCAAAGCCTCTAGCAAGACACATACATGTCCATGCACACACACGCAAATTAATTATTATTGATACCAATTTTTATAGAATCAAACCTCTAATATGGTGTTTGAAGCACTCTCAAATTTTACACATCACCACTGCTCCCTTTTGAATCACACATTTACTTATGTACCTGAACCCTGAATACAGTTGAATTTTTGCATTTTACAGTTTAACCAAGTTGGAGTTCATCAAACCTCAGTCTTCAGTTCTTCCCTCCTCTTTATTCTTTCCCTAGGTAATGCTATCTATTCCCATGACTTCAAATATGACGTCAGCATTAAGTATGTCATCATCGTAGCCAATTTTTGAGTACTTCTTAGGCACTTATGCATATTACATGCATTAACTCATTTAATCCTTACAGGAATCCTATGAGTTGATACTATTACCACCCTCATTTAGGAATATGGAACTGAGGCATGAGAGATGAAGTAATTTACCCCAGGTTGCACAGTCAGGGACAGCTAAAGCCGAAAGCTGAGTCAGGCCATTTGGTGACCACTCTATTCTAATCCTATGCAACAGGCATAAAAACATGGTCTCACTTGTATAGTCTTTTGAACTTAATTTTGTGAATTTCCACAGTGTAGCTACTCATTTGTAGGTGTCTGATGCAACACTGATAAAATCCATAAAAAGGCAAAACGTTTCACTGTAGTATTTTAGAAGTAAATGTATTAATTTAAACGTCAAATGTCTTAATAATATAATTTGTTTCATTTACAATCACAAGAACTGTGTACTTACGAAAAAAAAATCTCATTACTTACCTTTGATATCTCTATGGACAATCATATTACTGTGCAAATAATGAACACCCTCCAGAATCTGACGAGTGTATTTCCTAGTCACATTCTCAGTAAGAGCTCCATATGCTTTTAATTGGTCCTTAATTGAGCCCTAGGACAAAAGAAAACAACAAAACTATTACATGGTTTTAAATGAAAACTGCTATTAAATCTGTATCTGTTAAAGAGTCTTAGTAGATGACTACAGGCTGTAGCTGGTCAGGGCAGGAATTCTTGGTAAAGAAATAATAGGTCATGCAATTTCACATAACAGTCAGCTATACTCCTGACCTGGAATTGTAGAAGAGCATAGACCAGAGTAGAAGAGAGCCTTTACAACTTGTTTTCAACTTAATGCTCTAGGTTTCTATAATCTCCTGTCCTGTGCAACTCTGTTCTTAACAATTCTCTAGTTTAGGACCAGCAGGTTGGCATAGTGGTTAAAGTGCTGGAGTCCCACATAGTCAACTGCAGTTCAAGTTCCAGACCTAGCAGCTTGAAACCCTTGCTCATGACCAAAATCCTAGGAGGAAAAGAGACTGTGGCATAGCCATCCCTCCTGGGGGTTAGTTTCTTACCTTCTCTCTCTCTCTGTCTCTGGTGAGCACATGCACCCTACTGCAAAAATCTCTCTTAAAAAACAAACAAACACCTCCATTTTTTCCCTATTCCCAGAGGGTACATGCCAGACAGAAAGAGTAAACATGCATTCCTAAGAGAGAAGAGAGAGTATGCCTCCTCAGTGGGGCCCAGTCAGACTGCAGTCCCCCTTCCTCCTTTTCTCCTTCCTGTCAGGACCCTGGGCATGCATGCACACACATTTGGTATTTTGTTTTGTTTTTCAAGTTATCAGGGCTGGGATTTGAACTACGGTTGACTGGCCATGTGGGATCCAGCTTCTTCCATATAGCACTTAACCAGTCCTCCAGTCTTTTTATCTTTTTAATGTGTCTTAATCTTTTAAACATTTTTTCTTACTTTATCATGATAGAGCACACACGCACACATGTGAAAAAGAGAGAGGGAGAAAAAGAGACAAGCACTCTTTTTTTTTTTTTTGGAGAGGTTTTTGCCATAGGGTTTGTGTGCTCGCCAGAAAGACAGAGAGAGACAAAGAGACAGAAAGCAAGAAATCACCCCCCGGGGGGATGGCCACACCACAATCCCATCTCCTCTATTCTCCTATTGG